GTACTCTAGTCTGTTGCTAACATGAGAGTAGAAGCCTTTAGGGGGCAGGACAATGGATGGATGATGGCATAAATTCTCTCTGTACAACAGTCCTCAACCTCACACAGGACTAACATGGTACAGTGAAGCTGTGATGTTCTAATGTTCCAGGATGGAAAGTTCCTTCCTGAAATCTTCAAGCTTGACTGTGCTGCTATTTTAAGACAATAAAACTGAAAGCTCTCAACCATTTTATTTTACAATGCGCTTTGAAACATGTGATTCATACTGAGGCAATCATTTTATTGACTTGGGTCTATTATACTGTCAATAGTTCTGAACCATAAAATCCTGTTATGAAAGAGATATTGCCTACCTCGGGACAGTATTATCAGTATGTGTTAGCTCCCACAGCAAGAAAATGTCTGCTATTAGATAGACTGGAGGGTGGTTATACAGAAATATACTGGAGAACTGGCTTTGTACACAGTTTATATGTAGATTTGAGGGCTTCACTTGTCCTTTATCTTTTATTTTTCCCACTTAAAAAACACAAAAACACCACTCCCCTTTACAATAACTATTGATACGTTTTAATAAAGGCTTCAGCAGGCATGTGTTTCTGTAATTTCTTGTTTGATGATAGAAGATATTCTTCATTCTTTGGTGAATTAAAACAGTATATTGAGCATATACAACAAAAGTCTTCTTTGATTTGACTTGTCTACACTGATTTGTCCTGTATCTCCCCCTTGAGGACTGTGTTTTATTACCTCCACAGGGACATGTCAAATGTGTATCTGCTGTATACACTATATATATGTATATATATATACATATATATAGGAATGTTTACGTGTTAACACCTTTGCAATAATAACAGAAACACTGACAGGAGCCATTCTGCTGCATAATGGGTACTTTTACTTTTAATAATAAGTAAGATTTGATAGTAAGTACATTTTTTACTGTATAAGTAGAACATGAACGCCTCTTCCCACACTGGTTAGAATTCACAAAGCACACATCTTGTTTCCTGAAATCCAGTACCTGCAGTCTTTTTTTTATTTATTTTTTTGTAGCAGTTTAATTCACTGCACTGGACTCATTGACCTATGTTTTTTTTCTGGAAGCACATGTTTGACCATGTCTGCTGTATTACTTAGCAGCGATGACAATGCAGTTAGGCCAATAAAAAAATTCAAAGTGAGGATATGGAACAGGAAGTGCTCCCACCCCGACAATGCTGGCGCCGTTCTGAGGCTTTAGGTCAGTGGTGTGAGATCTAACTGCTGCAGAAACAAGGAGAAATGAATGCTTATGAAAGAGACAATATTACTGGGCAGTAACTGAGACACAGTGAAACATAATTAGTGCTATTAAACGCTTTATAGTTTTAAGTACCATTGTGATTGTAATTGTTTGAAAAGCCATGAAAAGCCATTTGAAAAGCCATGGTCGCCAACAACATCTACATCACCAACATTTCCATCTTCCATCAGCAGGAAGTGGTCATCAGGCTGAAGGCTGGAAGACGCAGGGAAAACCCCTCATGACAACAATGTTCACCCACCTCTGATTCGAGGAGCCGTAAACAATGTTTTTACTGCCCCATGGAAAAAAACACAATGCTGTAAATTATTCCAGGCTTTGAAATCAGTCTATCAACAGCAGTGACTTGATAATTACTTCATCACATGCTCTGAACTCATTTACCTGGAGGGTGTTTGGGACAACAAGAAACGCCCAGCGGCTACCTGCTACATGATCAATGGTGAAACATAATAAAACAGTCAGTTCATCAGTGTTGTTGCAGGTCTTACTGGTAACTTATCGAAGTCAATGGGTTTTAGATTCCTAAAATAACATTAATAGTCTTAAGTTCACACTTTGTTCTATGATATACAGTATGTCAGTGAACAGTAAAAAAGGCGGTTGCTAACATGGCTAAATTAGACTACATTAAATGTCAGCACACTGAACAGCGAGCCTCTTTAGAGTTATACTCACACTCACACGCAATTTGTTCTAACTCAAATTTTCCATTTTGATTACAAGATTTAATTCCATATTGGAAGTTTTGTGGCGGTGACGCTGAAGTCATGCAACCGTGGGGTAGCTTAACGTTAGCTTTTCCCTTCTGGCGATCGCATTTACGCATCAAAAATCATAAAAGTGGTGTTTATTTGTGAAGCTTATCTTGTTGAGTAGCATAAGTATGCAACAATCCAAAATCCACTGGAAACATTACATTGGCTTTTTCTTGAAAGAACCAGGGCGATGCTAACTTAAAAGCTGGCCTACAAAAAAATCTGTCATCCCTGCAGCACTCTACGAATATCTTTTTCACTTTTGGTACTTTTGAAGGAAGTAGTTATTAATATAACTGTAGTATTGCTGGTCCATGAAGCAGCGGTTGTTATGAAGCATGAGCACACTCTTGCGCTGACACACAAGCAGTGATGTAAAATACAATATTGTGATGGAGGCAAAGTTTTCTGAGGGTTTTTGCAGAGTTCAACGGGACTGTCGTACTGTGGCTTTATCACTCAGGCTGGGGTCATCGACACCACCCAGCAAACAGCCTGCACTCACTCCATTTGAACATATTGACCAAGATGAACGCAGATATAGTAGCAGCTGATTTTTTACTACAGCACTCCTCAGCATTTTAAAGTACTACACTATAGTGCAAATTTGAGGTACTTGAGTATTTCCATTATATGCTACTTTATACTTCTTCTCCACTACATTTGGGTGGAAACTACTGTACTTTTCAGGACACCTTTTTTATTTGACAGCAGACAACTTTTCAGATTCAAATTTTTCCAAAAAAAAAAAAAAAACATATGCCAAAATATAATATAATTCGAACAATGCGTTGTTGCAGTTTGCTTGTATGTAAAGTGCTTTACACATAAAGTCTGATTCTTTTCACATTATACTGTATTTCACACTGATGCTGCAATGTTGTACTTCCTCATGTATGACTTGTATTACTGCAGCTGAAAGCATTAAAACTAAATGTGCCTTGTGTTATGATTAAGCTCTACAGATACTGTAGTCTCTGCTCTAGTAAAGTTGAACTCTTTGACTGTTAGTGCCCCCTATTGGAAACAGACTGTTATTACAGAGAGACAGACGTGCCTCTTATACTGTCTGTATTTACTATTGATTTACATTCATTCATTCATTCTTTCCTCTTTTTTTTTATTATTGCATTCACTCAATGCATGTCCTGTCCCGCCATGTCACCCAATGTATTACAGTCTGTCTTGTCTCACCTGCTATGTGTGAAAAATTGTAATCTGAAAAGTAACTAGTAACTACAGCAATGCAGTGAGATAAGAAGTGTAATGCTTGCCTCTGAGATGTAGTGCAGTAGAAGTATACAGATGCAGAGAAGTCAATTCAAACATTCAAGTAAAGTAGAAGTACCCCAAATGTGTCCTGAAGTACAGTACTTGAGTAAATGTACTCAGTTACATTCCACCACTGCAAAGCAAACCTCCCAAGCAGATATCAAATATAAAACCCACACAAAAGTCAATAAGAGACAAGTAGTGTGAAGTCCTCTGTCATCATCATCATCATCGTCACCGTTCTCACCTGTGTTGTGAAATGTGTGGGGTGTGTGGATTACTGTAAGGGGAGGTAACACATGGAAGGGGGGAGAGGGGGGAGAGCTTTATCGGTATATATTCAAATGTTGAAAAGAGCTCTGTGAAGACATTTCATACAATTTGGACCGTGAGAGGAAAACAGCTCAGGAGGGAGTCGCGTGACTACGAGCCTACACGTCAGGACAAGAAAACCGGCGCGCGCGCTTTCATCATCCAGGTCCCAGCCCCCCCAACAACCAGAGATCTACAGCAGAGGAGGAGCGCTCACTCTGACATCAGTTCTGATTGCAAAAACTTTTGGCTTTCATTACAGGAGAGAATTCATGTGATAACAGAATCCCTCAAAATGAAATCACATGTCTTTTCTGTCAGTGTTTACATGGGGTGGAAGTGTGGATTTTAGTTAGATGTTTTCAGTAACACTGCCAACTGCATCACAAGCTCACTCAACTGTCAAATGTCCAGACAGTATATACGGCCATTGTCAGGGCCATAGAAACCATTGAGGTTTGGGGGTTTAGTAATTAGAATGTTATGCTACAATTAAAAACTCACACATGATGGATATCATGTAATATATATATATCATTTATTTTATGTATCAGTATATTTAAATTTGACAATTTGCCAAAAAAAAGAAAAAAAGAAAAGCTGTCTGAAGTTTTATAATGCTAATATCTCGCTGCAGATTAAGCATACCGGTAACCCAGTAAGTTCTTTTAACTCAAAAAAATTGTTTAAACTGATTACATCTAAATTCTTAAATAACAGAAACTACATTTTTTAGGTTGAAAAAGATTCTTGATCAGGCTGCTTTTACTAGTAATTTTAAGTGGCACTAACTTAGTTTTGTAAGTCACTGAAACATTGCTAATTAATATATTTTTACTAGGTATTTGTTTTTCACAGTTCAAAAAAATAAAAATAAAGTTATTCTCACTTAAAATTACTAAAGCTAGGCTGTACTTGATCAAAAATGTTTTCTTTCATTTACAAAATTGAATTAGTTTTATTTAAAATTTTGATGTGATCAGTTCCAACTATTTTATGAGTTATATGAACTTTTGTTTTGTTTACAGTTTTACAGTGTAGGTTTCTCAACACTCACTTTTACTTCCTTATGACCTTTTTATGGTAGTAGGATAATTATGCTTTTGTGTTAAGTGTAGATTTTCAGTACTCTACCCATCACTGCCAGATTCATAGTTAAATAATAAATAAATAAAAATACATTCAACTGAAATTCGTGTGGGAACAAGTCATTGAAAATCTGGCAATAAAAACCATGGCTCAAATATTCGCAGCGTTAAAGACTACAAGCGTGCAAGAGGAGAGCGCATGCGTGAGGGTCAACACCCATCTTTGCAGCCCGGAAGGTGAAACGGAATTTCACTACAGGGTAATACATCCTCTCAACGTGTCCTATCTCTGCTGTATCAGAAGCGGTTATGCTGTCTGCTGTCCTCGAAGGACGTCGCTGACCTTGTTAAACATTAACCGAGGAGGTCCCTTTATTAGTCCACATTCTCCTTCACCGGCAGCATCCCGGGAGCTGGAGGAGTACGGCGGTAAGAGCCCTGTCTTTACTAGCATCTTCATGTTAGCTTCACTGAGGAGAGCCAGAAGAGACTCCTCTCCTGTCACAGCGAGGGTAGTATAGTTGGACACTGGTTAATACTTGGAACCCGAATATTTCTGTTAAATTGTAAGTTATTTCCCCACACATTTCAAATGTATAAAGTCTCTGTTTGTCCTTTTATTAACACCGTGTGAGCTAGCTAACGTAAAGGAGAGGAAACGGGAAGAAGCTCGAGGCTGTCTGTGCGTCAGAGAGTTGATTGAAGAGATGAGTCAAACAGTGGAGCCGCCTCCTTTAATAGGATATTATACAGATAACACACAGCACTGTATGCTCGCTTAAGAGCGCCCTGTCACTGTGACAATATTGTACAGGTGACATGATAGAAATGTCTGCTTTAGCATCATTTATCATCATTTACAGTACTATCAGTCAGCTCAGTTACTTATATTATAGTTACTTAATATTAATATTTTAGCTTAATCAAATGGCTCCAAAGATGTATGTAAATGTATGCCTATCCTCAGCTTTTATATAGAATAAAATCCCTTTCAATCACAGGAGATAAGGTTACTGTAAATTCACTCTGAAGTCATACACAGGCGTTTTATTCCACCTTTGTTGTTGTCTGACTTTGAGTGAGCAGGGGGGAGTCCTGTACTCTTTTTCAAAACATAATACATTTGCATATATTTGCATACATGTTATTGGTTCCATAGATATTGAAACAGGAGGGCATGTGGTTGCGTGACTGAGAGAAATGTTCTCTACCACCAAAAGATCCTCTGCTGTAGAACCCGCAATGCTCTGACACACACAGAGGAACCTATCTACGCCACACTGTAGGATTTTGTACAGCAAACTTTGTTCCAACAATAGTTCATATATGATACAACCCATGTAGTTGTGTAAACTGGCCAAAGACCAAATATTTGCTTGAAATCTGATAAAAGGTGCTGGTACTCTTGCAAATCCAACAGAAGTCTCTTTTATCAGCACAAAAATGCACAAACACAATGGTCTGGTTGGTTATCATCACTCCCGCTCTTGTCGTCATGTAAAAGTAGTGAACCGAAAGGCAAACCAGATACTGTTGAAATGATCTATCTTGTCTCTTCTGGTCCTTTGAGCAGAAAAAAAGTGCAGACAGTTGGAGCAGTTAAAGGAATGAAGATATACCGGCCACAACAATGACGGAGAGACATACACTCTGACTCAGTAAGATCAGGCCTGCTATGGAGCAAGAAGAAGCTGCAGCTCGGGAGGGCTCGCAGCTGATGTACAGGATAGAGCGCTCGGTCTATGATGAAGCCTTCGTCCGGTCACAGCTCCTCAAGCGCAAAGAAAACTCCACAACCCTCCGACAGAGGCTGGCACAACAGTTCCGGTAAGCTTAGACCGACTCCAGGAATTTACCTCTGGATTTGTGCTGCTTAAGTTCTGAACAAATCATTGACTCAGTGTGGGTATGTCCACACAAGGTGAAATATCCCTACCGGGCTCAATTAGCTATAATTCTTTTTATATGTAACTCATAAAATGCAATAAATAGTAAAAAGATAAACAAAAGAGCAAAGAAAGTTATTTGATAAACAAAGTTTGTTGCACAAATAATATCAGTCCTAAATGCCAAACATTTGCAAATGTGAAGGTTTTCACTATTTTCTGACAATTGATTAATCAATTTATCAAAAAATGACATTGATAATTAATAATGAAAATATGCAGCCATAAAGCATACATAGAATGGCTGCAGCAGTTTAACCTATAACTTCTGAACATGCTTATGCAGTATGATCAATGTGAATGCCAGTTATTTGTAGGGCTCCAACTTATGATTACATTCACTGAATTTGCTGAGTTTTTTTTCTATTTTTTTGTTGAGCTGTTTAATTGTTTAATGTCAGTAAATGTCTAATTTACTGTGTTTAATGAACAACGATATAAAACAGAAACCTTATATTTGAGAAGCAGGAGTTAATTAACCTAAATGATTAATCAATTGTCAAAATAGTTGATGCATGCATGATGAATTTTCAGTTGATTGATTTTCATTTCAGCACGATCACAAACTTTTTACAAAATTCCCCATTTGTGCAAAAAGGCTCAGTGTTTGCATATTAAATGACACATGGTTAGATGAGGTTTATTGGAGGGTGTGTCCTCTCATTTTTGTGAGACAGTGGGTAACTTTTTTTAAAGCAGTCACATTTCCTCCATCCCAGTGCACAAACAGACAAAGGTAGATGATATCTGTAGTAGACTAACTCTGAACCCCTGCAGCGGTACGTTAGTTTTACATTTAAGTTACACAAACCTTACTGATTCAGATTGTATTTGAATAGAGTTATTACAAACCATTTGTCTGTTAATTGTTGCAGTTAGGATAAAGATGTGGCTGTTTTCATATTAGTCAAAAATTTCCAATGTAGAAAACAAAACACAAGTGAAACAAGTTAGTGAGGAAGAGGATTATGTTGTGTCATACTTTATCTGACCAAGTATGGCCTTTTGGGGGGCTGGGAACCATTGCTGAAAAACAACATGGATTCCAGGAAAGACTTTCTGTAACTGAAAAGATTCCTTTTTTTGATGGGGCACAAAAAGTCTGAATTGTTTTTTTTTTAATCACAAACTGATAATTCCACTTGTCTCCTTTCACAGGTGTTCTTCAGAGAAAGCCAAGGCGGCAGTTTTTAGCTTCCTGCCTATTTTAACATGGCTGCCATCCTATCCAGTCAAGCAGTACCTGTTTTCCGATGTGGTCTCAGGTCTCAGCACAGGAGTTGTGCAGCTCCCTCAAGGTCAGTCCCTTGTAGTCCCAGCTGCACTAAAGTGACTAAAGTCCCTTTCAGACTTGCACTTACGCTGCCTTCAAATGGAACTCATGAGCTTGTTGTTATGACATGAGAAGTCGTGTATAATATTTTTGTGTGTGTAAATGTGCTGCATCAGATGTCTTTCTTGTGTATCTATGTATTTATGTGAGGGTATGTACAGACTGTGGCAACACATTTTCTTGAAAGGACAATAAAGAATCTATCTAATTACAAGGAAAACTCTCTATACGACTAAAACTACAATATATTAACTCATGAACATGGAGCTTTCAGAACATTTCCACTTCCAAGGTCATGAATATCTTAAAAAGGGGGGGTTTATATAGACTCTTCTAATGAACGCAGTAAACACGACCCCATTTTTACAGCAGCATTAATTCAAATGAGGGAATATCCTGTGAAAGAATGGAGCTGTTCTCCAGTAGAGTTCTGGTGCCTGCAGTACAGCTGTTGGTGTATGGTGGTGTGTGGTAGAAAAACACAGTACAAAGACACTTTGTACCCATCTATATGTTTCAATGTCTAAAAAGCATTACCTTTACAGACTGAGCAATGTTATATATTTCAAGACTTTGTACAGTAGCCACAAGTTTGGCCAATCAGTGTGTAAGGGGCCAGCTGCAGACTCCTGAGGGGCCGCGTTCAGCTTCACACTGTTTCTGTTTTGGTATCTCTGCAGCCCTGAGGTTGTGATGCAATCACTGGGCTTCTGGGACTGTTCAGTTTATTTACATCTCTCCCTCTCCTCTGCTCCACAGGTCTGGCCTATGCTATGCTGGCTGCTGTGCCTCCAGTTTATGGCCTGTACTCCTCATTCTACCCAGTTCTGCTCTACACCTTCTTTGGCACATCCAGACACATATCCATTGGTGAGAAATTAACTGAAAGCTTCTTGTAGACTTTTGGGTCATTAATGTCCTACTACAAGCTGCGGCTGGTGCCCATATGGAGACTTAATAGAGACAACATGGCGGCAAAAACACACCTGATGAAAGTTTAAGGCTGCCTTTTGTGTATTAAATGTGTATAAATTGTGCATTCATTATGTGTATTAAATGCGAAATGTGTGTCAAATATGGAAAAGGGTTTTGTTAATGCATTCTGACTGTTGGCTTGGCCCTGGCCCCCCTTAGTAACTGTTGCTATGTCTATCAAGCTTTCCGTTCTCGTGCTGCACATACATGCAGTTTACAATGACAGTGGCACACTTAGCACTGGAAATCCTTACTAATCCTCCCTGTTAAAAATGTTTAGGAACAATGGGTCCTTGTTTTCAGACTGCTTTGATGTTGTTGCTAGTTAGCGTTTTAAGCTAAGGTTAGCGTCATGAGTTGATTGAAAACAATGACTCCGACTTTTTAATGTTCCCTGCAGATTGCGGGTAAAGCTAACAAGACCCAGGAAAAATGTCAGCATTCTCACCAGACAATGATCTATGTAGATGACATGGAAAGAAAGAAGCAGTATTGTTCTTGTATTGCACTGTAGAGATAGTTGTGAGTGGCTGTAAATATTAGTAATGACTGCGTCGCAGTTAAAACGGCAGGCACTGTGTTCAATCCGTGGATCAGGCGGGCTAGGTCATAAAAATAAACATTCTGGTTAATAGCAGATGGGTGAACTAGGGTGAAGTGTCTCCCCGTTAAGAGAGACGCTGTCCGCATTTACGCAAGAGGCACAACATCGTCTTCACTTAATAATTAAATCACCAAACATGCCAACAGGATTGATCATAATCTAATGCTAATTAATGTTCTGTGTTATTCTACACATCCAAAGAAGTCCCACACACAGACCAGGTTCATTCAGTGAAATAAAGTAAAGCAGCTGGCTTCCTAATAAATTCTCTGTTTCCTCTGGAGAGTTTACTACTACTAAGTACAGTTTTTAGTTTTGCTACTTAAATATTATTGATATTTGCTGCAGTGACATTACTGTGCACGTGGAAAAATGCCTGAAAGCAGCCCCTCTAATCATTTAGGTAGATTGTGAAAGAAAACAAAAAAGGCACAACTTCCACACAGTGAGGCAAGACCACACAGTGGACGTGCGTGTCATAGACTGGGCTCTTGTAATATCATCCGTAACCCCATTAAATATAATGTGGTCCTTGGCCTTCGAAGTACTGCTTGTTTACTTTCGTAAGTCATAAGCTAGTTAGCTGGGCATGCTAACAAATGCAATGGAAATGCATACAGTTGATCATGTAAATGAATGGTGGATATGCTGTTGTCAGTCAGTGGCCTTTTCACACAGCCAGGTTGCTCTTTACTGTCAGTGCCAAGGACACTATGATCAGCTAAAACTGCCAAGCGTCTCTGGCCCACACACACAGGGGGTACAGCACTGCTCTGGTAGAGAGACTCAATGAACTGTCTGAATATTCTCAAGTTGCAGACTGATCCAGAGATGAAAGATTACGTTGTCTTTCAGATGTCACATGGAGGAAACGTTTTCACTCAGTTGTGAGAACCATGTCCTTGACTGACATGAGCAGCAGGATTGTGAAATTTCAGTGACCCCACCCCTGACAACTCTCCCACCCATCAAGGTACTTTCTTTCCTAGAAAGGGCACCAGGTTGTCTCAAATGTCAGTTCTAACCTTTAAGTCCATCTGACAAATGGGCGCAATAAACGAAACCCTCTCAACCTTTTGAATCAAAAGGTTTAAGCAGAAGTGAACAGAAGTTGGCTTCCCTGTAAAATGGCCTCAGACTTTAGCCTGATAACTGGTTGCTGTGGAAATGATGATCCCTGAACTTCTGGCAGAGAATGAGAGGGAATAACTGGGCTGCTGTTCAAGTGCTGGGCAAGATGGCCTTTTCACTCAAAGGGATACACACACACTTTAAGTGCATGACCCCACAGTTCCACTGGAGATCATGAAACTGTACAGCACTAAGCCTGGACATAAGTGGGGCTAAGGTGAAATGATTCAGATATGACGTTTGATGGGGGACGGTTGTGTTTGGTTTGGTGTTGCTCTGCACTTTCCTGCAGTGAAGGCAAATACTGATAAGAGACTTTGTGTCTGGGGGACTGATTAAGATTAGACTTTATTTTTTTTGTCACAATGTTCCAATGCACAGCTAAGCTGGATGTACATTTAAATGATCCTATAGGCCTAAATCCACAATCTAGCTGTGCTTACATTATTCAATTCAATTCAATTAAATTTTATTTGTATAGCGCCAATTCATAACAGAAGTTATCTCAGGACACTTTTCAAATAGAGCAGGTCTAGACCGAACTCTTTAAAACATTATTTACAGAGACCCAACAGTACCACCATGAGCAAGCACTTGGCGACAAGGGCAAGGAAAAACTGCCTGTTAAAAGGCAGAAACCTAGGACAGATCCTCCGGCTCTAGGTGGGTGGTTGTCTGCCTCGACCAGTTGGGGAGGGAGAGAGGGAGAGGGAGAGAGGGAGAGGGAGAGGGAAAGAGAGAGAGAGATGCACAGCAACAACAGTATTGGCAATCTAGCAGGACCATGGCAGGAGGCTCCACCAGGATCGAGACGAGAAAGCACAAGAACTCCGGGGAAGAAGTGAAATTAGTAACATGCATTAATGGGACATGAATGAGTACATTATAAGGTTACAGTTTGGGTAAGAATATAGGTGGTATATTTATACATATTATACAGCAGTCACAGTAAATCTGTCAATGAAACACAGAGATTTGACAATTTCTTACTTTATATTTCAGCTTACTATCTCAAGAGGCTGTATGTTAAGCACTGGTGGTAATAAAAACTGTTGCCAGTGTCAGCATGGCTTCATCAACCCTTTAGCAAAATATTTTAAGGCAAGTTATTCTTGTGTTTGTTAGTGTTCATCCTAGTCTAAATGAATGGTGGTCTATAAGACACACACAGCCCGGTTGCTTTCCACTGTCCGTGGCAAGAACAGTATGATGAGCTCAAACTGCCAACCGTCTCCTCCCACACACACAGGGGGTCAGCTCAATGAACTATCTGATTCCAGATTAGGAGGCGTTTTGATGTGACCACAGTTGACTCTTCCTAAGTCTCAACCCTTTTTGCTCTGTGCTTCAACAGTGCAGCTGTTTGCTCTCAACAGTTGAGCAAGCCTCGGCCAGAAACTCGGTCAACTTTCTCCTTTCCTGTACGCAGCTTTTGTTAGCAAAACATTAGCCACCTATTGATGGAAATTAGCTTGCTACATAGCTAGTGTTTTGCATCAGTTTAGTCACGTCTCTCAGGGACACCTTAGCATTAAATCAATAGTTCATATAATTGAATAGGTCTGACCCTGATTCAAAGGAATATATTTCAGAAAAGTCTCTTTGCTTCTAGATCACCAACTGAATCCTTACTGGTATTTCTTTTATATGAATGTGTTTTATTATTATTTCTGGGCATACATTTTCTGTTTGTATAGCTCATTTTAAAACTAGATTACAACCTATGTAAAAGACAGTATGTTGGTTTTTTCACAGTGTAATTGTTTGAGAAATCAAACCATACAGGTTTTGAACAGAATAGTCAGATTAGTTAATATTGCATATTACTACATTGGATGTCAACATAAAAGATGGACGTTGCGTCTAAAATGGCCTCTGCCCAAAGTCTTTTTAATAGGTTGCTGTGTAAATGATGATCCCTTAACTTTTGGCAGAGAGAGAGGGGGAGTAATTGGGCTGCTGTTCAAGAGCTGGGAAAGATAGCTTTTTCACTCAGTGGGCTACTGCACATGATGGGGTGTAGTCACAAACCCACGCACACAGTTTAGATGAATGATTCCACAGTTAAAGTGGGCATCGTAATACTGTACAGAACCAAGCCTGGATGGATGAAGCACTTCCATGATTCAGCCATAATAAAGTGTAACAGCAGGCTGTGTGTGTGATCCGCAGGCACCTTTGCGGTGATAAGTCTGATGATCGGGGGTGTTGCAGTGAGGGAGGCCCCAGACGACATGTTTTACTTCCTGCCTGCCAACGGATCCAACGCGTCTGCCGTCCTGGACGTGGCGGCTCGTGACACCAGGAGGGTGCAGGTGGCCGTTGTGCTCACGACTCTGGTGGGAATCATCCAGGTTAGTCTCCAAAAAACAACCACCACACTCAGCCAGCAACTGAAAGCTGCTGTTGATTAGGTCTGTCTGCCTTCCGCACCCACAGAGTGCCTGTTTGGTTAAGCATCAAGTACAGTGATACGGCTTGCTGAAAACTTCACGCTCAAAAATCACTATTTACCCAAACGATGTTTTTGTTTGAAACAGAACTGTGTAGCTCGTTCTTATCCCCTTATCTCTTTCTTATTCCTTGCCTTCTTAATTTTTTCCCCCTTTCTTTCAGTTTGTCTTAGGCCTTCTCAGGTTTGGTTTTGTGGCGATCTACCTCACTGAACCCCTGGTGCGAGGCTTCACTACAGCAGCAGCCGTGCACGTTGTTGTCTCTCAGCTAAAGTACCTGCTGGGGGTGAAAACACCGCGCTTCAGTGGGCCCCTCTCTGCTATTTATGTGAGTTTTAATGGCTTCTGGAGGGTTTGTAGGTGGGAAGAGCGCAAGAGGAGACCCCTTGATTTGGGAGTTGGGAGAATTTGCGTATTACTAGTACTCCTTTTTTTTTCTATGTGTGGTTTTTGGTAATTGCAAAACACAGATCACTTAAACTTTCATACAAGGTCACTATGTCCTGTTTCCCTTTCCCCAGAGCATCAAAGCAGTACTCACTGACATCACCAGCACCAATGTCACCACTCTCATCCTGGGCCTCTCGTGCCTTGTCTTCCTGTACGTGATCAAAGACCTCAATGAGCGCTTTAAGAAGAAACTGCCCGTTCCCATTCCTGGAGAGATTATCGTGGTCATTGTGTCAACTGGTGTCTCTTACGGCATGTCCTTATCGGGCGATTACAAAGTGGACGTGGTTGGGGAGATACCAACAGGGTAGGTTGTTATGTTCTCTTTTGTCAAGGGAATTTGCGACTGGAGTTCCAGTCATGGGATTTTACAGCTGAGAAATCTGAATGTACTACAGAACGTTGGTTTCATAGCTTGCCTGTATTAAATTTGTGTTTTTAGGCTTGTTCTGGGTGCACTACAATTGTTATCTTACGTGTTCTCAGGCTTCTCCCTCCTGCCGTCCCAGATTTCTCTCTGTTACCCAGATTGGTCACGGACTCCTTCGCTGTAGCAATTGTGGGATTCTCAATGGGCATCTCACTTGCCAAAACCTTTGCCCTGAAGTACAGCTACAGCGTGGACGGCAACCAGGTGAGTCTGGACATCTGAGGAGCTGCTGACGAGCCAAAGATCCTGGCACAATAAACTCTTAACAAGGGCCCAGCACGCTAACCTAACAATAAGTTTACATGCACCTTAGTAACCCGGTTACAAGAAAAACCTGGTTTCTTTTCTGTAATTGAGGTAGGGATTGTCCAGGAATGGGATATAGAAGACAGTTTCCACTGCTAAAATTGAAATGCATTCTGTAGGGAAAGGCTGTGCTCTGTCTGTCTGCTACAAAACACACTTAGATCACTAAAAAGGTAAAAATAAGTAAGTGCTTCTGAAATAAGGTTGACTGTAGAGGGGAAATCTGATCACTGACCTGCTGCATGTGTACATGGATTTACAGTAACCAAGTTACCACAGTGCACGTAAACGTACTGAGTTGTTTGGTCTGAGCCACAGTGGAAACAAAGCACCGTGTTTGGTTTGTTTTAGTTCACGCTGCCAAATTACAAGGATACAGGAGCATGTGAACACAAGTCACATGGACTCACAAGCAGGGGCTAGGCTATATAAAAACAGACATTGTTTCAATGAATATGCTGCTTGTAACAATATGTGATTTGGTATGGTAAATCACGTCTGTCACACTTAACTGTCAGGAAATGAGAAGCCACTGTAACTTGAGCCAAGCGTAATTGAACTATCTGTGCTTCATGTTGTAAGTGATCCTGTCTGGAATTCATTGTAGTTTATGTCAACATCTGAGATCAAACGTGTGTGTTTTAGGAGCTGATTGCCCTCGGCCTGTGTAACTTCTTCAGCTCCTTCTTCCAAACCTTCGCCATCACCTGCTCCATGTCAAGGAGCCTGGTGCAGGAGAGCACTGGTGGGAAAACGCAGGTAACACACACTACAGGAGTGATTACACTATCTCACTGGACTAAATTGGTGTTGTAAAACCATAATTAGAGAGATGATGTTGACACAGTTATCGCGGTTTGTGTGTGTGTTCAGATCGCCGGGCTGCTTTCGTCTCTCGTGGTGCTACTGGTGGTGGTGGCCATCGGTTTTGTCTTCCAGCCTCTCCCTCAGGTGGGTGAAACTGATGACGCAGAGCTCCCAGCTTCCTGTCTGGCAGCTCGGCGTCACAGTCGAATCTGCAGACGCTTTTATTTTCTTCTCAGTCTGTTGAACAAACAGTGGCTGACTGCTCCACTGATACAGAAATGAAGTCATTAAAACTACTCAATGCTTCATGTTACACCTAATGAGATCAGGAGTCTTTTCTAATGTGTTTCACTTTGTTCTCATGTTGTATTATCCTCTGTTCTGTTTCCCAGACGGCGCTGGCTGCCATCATCATGGTGAACCTGTTGGGGATGTTCAAACAGTTCAGAGACATTCCCCTTCTGTGGAGGACCAGCAGGATCGAACTGGTAAGTCTGTCATATCAAACTCCACATTAAAACCACTGTGCTTTTTGGATGGGTCTGATTTAAACTTTAAACAGCTTTTCTTTCAAAATAGTCTGTTACCATGAGCAACACATGCTGTGTCTTTAGTCAGAACATCAACAACAACACAACACAAAAGGGCAATGACTTGAATGGGTCTTGATAATGTTAGAGACTGCGCCTGTTCTTAAAAGCAGAGGGCATTTGGACAAGTGTTTTTCCCCCACAAGTTACCCAGTCCCAATGGATTTCACTTACATTGTGCCTTTTTAGGTGCAGCGCTGCCTGTCACAATAACTACTTTTGTTGGACGATATATTGTCTCAGATGTAATTGTGAAAAACAATATTGTCTTTTCAGTGTTTCCTCTAGGATTTTTTATAGCAGTGGGTCTGTCCGAACACCCCCACAACGTTTCGGCCTTGTGGCCTTCGTGCGTGTGTGTAGCCTAATTCATTAAAACCTTAACTTTTCCGTGTACTATAACACAACTATTTACTTTAACATCATTCCATCTATGACTACATCTATAGACTATTTCCAATTTGTATTATATTAGTGACTTGCTTACCGTTTTAATGTTTCCAGATGTTTGATATCAGGACGTTGAGCTGAGAACTGACAAGTTGAACGTTGTCCAATTAAAACGGACCCACCGCGGTGACGTTTTTGGTGGAGCTGTTAGTTTAATAGTCGACTTGGAAGAAAGCGAACGTTTTGACAATAAGCTACATCAACACAACAGTATGTGGAGTTAAACTGGACAGCCCCAATAACCATTATTGAATCATTCCTTCCTCAACATATAGTAATGTTAGGGAAAACCCTGCTGTTTATTCTGGCATCATGTTGGTGATATTCTTCAACGATAAGTCGAAATTGTGACAGGCGATAACTACATAGTGTACGTACGATAGGTTGATAACTGTGAGTGTGTGAAAGTGCGTGTGTGTTATATTGGACTTGTCCACCTCTGCATGGTGGAGAGATAGACAGGTTTATTTTTTGTTTTGGATAAAGAATGTTCAGTTGTGTGACCTCTGCTGTACAGCATAAACAGGATAAACTGCTTTATTTTTCTGTTTCATAGATTAGACCTTAAACCTCAGTTTTTTGTCCTTGTATCGTATCTGAATATTTCTTTTGTGTGTGTGAAACAGTGTTAGCTTGTGACGCAAGTAGGGATGGGAATTGATAAGATTTTATGGATACCAACGCTATTATCAATTGTGCTTATCTCTCAGATTCTTTATTGATACCTGATTAATTTTCTGTGTGGAGAGAAAGTAGGCCTACGCAGGTTTTCAGCATCAATGCAACTTTTTTGTTAACTCTGAGTCTGAACAGTGTGGAAAAAGAGTAGTTACAGTAGTTTGAGTTCTCGATTGCAAGTTTCAGAAGGCATCTAACAATAAAGGGCGATCAGGAAAATAGGGTATAGCTGTTTGCATTGCCTGGCTGTAATACATCATGTGGGTATATTTCAGTTTCTTTCTCTTGCTCTCTCAGGCCATCTGGCTGGTAGCCTTCGTAGCGTCTGTGCTGCTGGGCCTGGATTACGGCCTTCTGGTGGCCTTGGCATTCGCCATCCTGACAGTCATCTACAGAACACAGAGGTACTGATAATGAGCTGCTTGTCCAAATGTGTCTTTATTTTTGTTACCGTCATATCATTATTCACTATCTTCTCTGAGTAAATAGTAAACACATTTGTATGAGCGGGTTTGGATGGTGCTCCAGGCTTGAAAACAGAATTATAATAATATAAAAGGTGCTTAGTGTTTCTGACCTTTCTCCATATCTTTCAGCCCCAAAAGTGGCGTCCTGGGCCATGTTCCCGGCACGGGGCTTTACTGTGATGTGGGCGACTATGAAGAGGTGAGTCTGTCAGCAGAGAAAACATTAGCACATGAACCCAGGCTAAAAACTGTCACACTGAGTCTGTGGGTCTGAACTCTGGTTGGTGTTTTTGTTCCCAGGCGGCTGAATACGAGGGGATTAAGATTTTCCACTCTAACTCTTCAATCTACTTTGCTAACAGTGACCTTTATGTGAATGCCCTCAAGGAGAAGGTAATCCTAGCCACTATGTCTGTGTGTGTGTGTGTGTGTGTCTCTCTTTACATCTATGGAGGAGAGGAATATTAGAAACCCCTTTTATTCATAGAGTTGAGCGGGTTTCAGTGAGGTTGTGCAGTGAAATTTAAAGGTGACAAACACTGACGCTACGGTTCCACAGAGACATGAGTAATCATACATATGTGTAAAGGTATGTGGAAACAGCTCAACAGTTCTGATTTTTGATGATTTGACAAAAATCTGGATTACTCAGTTCTTCAACTGAAATGTATCTGCCGCTGTCCTTAATCCCAGTTCCTCAAATATTGAATTCTTCTGTTAGCACTTTATAAACCCCCAGACACAAATGTCTGCTTTTCTCAGGTATGAGGTATGATGACATTAGATGAGAACATGCTGGTTATTGAGAAACCATACCTATATAGGATAAAAGATGCAACAAAATAAAATGGGTATCCTGAAATAAAGAGTCAAACCTGAAAAATAAGTAGTATAAACTATAAACTTAAATTAACATTTTTGACTTAAAAAAGCAGTTGTAACCAGAAAACATTGTATTCATGTGGACTAAAACATTTAATTAACTTCCTACCAAACAAAAATATGTTGAATATAGTTGGACATTTTGGGAAAATGAAAATGCAGAAGGAATGTTGCTTTCTGGCCAACAGTTAGAATCTCAGATCTGTGTGGTAAATAGGTTACTGTTAAATAAAACTTGTCCTGTCTTTATCTATGCATGTTCCTTTCTTTCACCTCAAAAATCAAAGTTAAAAGACACAGTGATACCATTAGCTTAAAAGATAATTTGTCAGTAATCAACTATTTAACAGAACAATTTGGATATTTAAAGATGCCAGATGATGGTCATTGGTTTTAGGGAGCTTTTGTTACTGATTCCTCTGCGGTTTCAAGGAATCTGTCAGGCTGGACATGAAGAGTAGCAGTTGGTAATAGTCATGCAGGAAATTAGAATGAGTTTGTTTGAAGCATGATTGCATCACTCCCTTTCTGTTAGGGTGGATGTTTGTACAAATCATCATTAGTTACATTTACATTACATTTACTTTGCAGCCATCAGTCATGGTACTGAGTTGGAAATGTGTTAAACTGGAAGTTTTAAAACAGTCTCAAAACATGTTAACCATATAAGCATAGACAGAATAAAGTGCTAGAACAGAGATGGTGAAAAGGACATTAAATACTGTTTCACTGACAGGCTACCATTAATGATGTGTTCACAGACGGGAGTGAACCCTGAGCGTTTACAATCTGCCCGGAAAGCTATACAGAAACAGAAAAAGAAGGCAAACGGCAGCCACAACTCTCCACGGAAGATCTGTGCTAAGGTGAGTCTTTCTTCTCCCCCTGCTTGCTTGTTGCGTACTTACACAGTCCGCTTTGTTGACAGTGTAAATATGCAGCATGCTGATATGTGTCTGTCACGTAGGGGCTTGAGTAAATCCTGGAGGGATTGAAAACCTGTTTCCCATGCTGATGTACGGTCGGTAGCAAGGGGTGACTGATCCCTCGGGGGGTTTTAAAGGGTCTCGTAGGCCCTAGCTCACTTCTATTAACAGTAACAGTAAAAGGAAAAGAGACATTTTAAGTCTTGGTCACTAGATAGATGTACGCAAAGCTTACACATACCACCCTGAAACACCTTGTAAAAAAACAGTTTTCTCTGGTTCCAGTACAAGGAGCAGTCAGTGACCCATGAGGTTTTGTCCATTAACCACGTGGCGGAGGAGCAGACGAACGGCCAGTTGGGGGACAGACACAGCGAGTCCGACTTAGAGGAGGCCGTCTTCCTGGAACCTCTCAGCACTGTTCACTCCATCATCCTGGACTGGACAGCTGCCAACTTCATCGACTCCGTGGGAGCAAAAGCCATCAAACAGGTTCATTTCATTCCGTTGCTGCTACAATAGCTGTGTTTCCATTTATGTATTTTTATTATATAAATCATCATTTATAAGTATTGCTTAGAAAAGGTTGATGGAAACGGCAAAATTCCGAATAAGCTCTGATGTAGGGAACATTTAACTCACATGATTGATGAGCAGTTTCCACTCAGACAGTCTCCTCATTACTGTCATGGTTCTATAATACATCCATGATCGCTGCACACAGATCTGATAGAGCCTTCCTCACTTCATATTATTATGTCATAGCAGACATCCTGTGTTTTTGGTTTTCACCATTTGAGCTACGACTGGCGCTCAGAATCCTTCTCCAAAGGGGGGTGTATTTGATAGACAACCTTAATACCCTCATTCCCAATGGTATGAATGAGGAGATTTGCTTGTTTTTTAGTGTGTGTGTTTGTGTAATTTTTTTGAGTTTCCATGTATTTTGTATCATGTGACTCTGGGCCTGTGATTGTTGGAATGAACTTGTTGATAACCTATAACCTACATGAAATCACATTAAATGTGGGATGCATTTGGATGGAAACACAGCTCCTGACAGGAACACTTGGTTCGACCTCAGTGACTGAGTCAGCATGTGTCTCTGCAGGTTATTAAGGAATATGCAGCTGTGGACGTGCAAGTGGTGCTAGCCGGCTGCAGCAGTAAGTAATCATAATGACTTTTCTCTGAATTTGTTTAAAGCTTAACTGCATTAACTGCTGTTGTAACTTATTAAATGCGGAAATGTACAAACTGTCACCGGCCATATTTATATGCACTTCCCTTTTTAAAACGCAGACTAACCTGTAATAATTTTGTATAATTAAGAGGAGCCTAGTTAAGATGCTTTACCCAGATTAAAAAGGATACTCTGACATGGAAACCTTTGTCTTTCACTTGTGCTTCAAGTTAAGACTTGCACAGCATCGTTTGCAGTATAATGACATCGAAGAGGTATGACGGGGATCAACAATGTCTTGAATGTCAATAATTTCTTTTGTCATATCTTAATATCTTTTATTTTCCAAATAGACTCCAAAATGCCCATTAATATGAATCAACACCTCTCTAAAACAGTTTCAGCCATCAGAACGTCAAAGACTGAAATAAAAATGGCTTCAGTTAAATACTGGAGTATGAGAGCACGGTTTGCATGTGGTCTGACTGATATCTGCACTGCTTTGATCTACCAGGAAGCCTGCTGTCTGAACTGGACGCCCTACAGTTTTTCACCGGTATCATGACTCCAGAGATGGTGTTCCCCACCGTCCATGATGCCGTGCTGCGCTGCCAACACTCAAATCCCCACCTGTCAGCTACTGCAACCAATAAAACCACCTGACCAGAGGTGACGCCTGTGACCGGGGACAGATTGAAGCAGCGAGGTCCTGACTCAGACAGCAGATTTGGGAGGTCCCCCTTTCTCCTCTAGGAGGGATGAGTTTGTCTCCACTGACGTTCCATTATCACAGTAGAGATGAATAGTCACTCATATTGAATAGACGAGTGTTTGTAGCGCAGGTGGATGGTTTTCACTCTCAAACAACTGTGTAAACTTAAAAGTGCCCAAAGCAGCTTGACACAAGGCAGTTTAAAAAGGGTTTTATCTCATCAGAAATTCCGGATTTCCAGCTGACATTCCCACAGCCCTTATTCCTTTTGAACAATCTGAGAGGTCGAGAGAGAGAGAGGATGCAGAGTTGCACTTTTTAAGTCTTTTTGTAGTTCTTACGGCTCTCTTGGGAGAAGTAGATTTTATTGTAAGTTGCTGCTGTCTTGTTAGAATGATTTTAATGTGTGGTTGAAACTGACTAGAAGCTGCCAGTCATTATCATGCTGTACCAATGTTGATGGTTACTGAGATGTTTTAAACTGTATTTCTGTCATTGTGTATTTAAATCAGCAAAAGCACTATCATTGGTCAATTTGCAGTGTCATGTTTGTTGTTATGGTACATTTGCACTGCTGTATGAGTTGTGTAATGTATTGTACATTCTGTAATTGGACATTTTTAGCATAAGAAGAGCTCTATTTTTGTGTTAGTTATGCTCTTATTGTATAACACAGGATGCCTTTAAAGTTACCATGTGGTTATTTTACACCATTAAAAAACTGAGACTCAACTCTGGAATAAACTTTATTTTTAAGTGAACAAGAATGACAACAAAAAGGACAATATTTTTTTGACTCCGTTTGACAGTAAAAAGCCAAAGTGGACACTCTCACACACTCTTAGTTGTAGGTCATGTATCTGGGGGTGGCGCTGAACTTGGCGTAGGACTTGATGACCTTGTTAACGGCCTCCAGGAAATCCTTCTCTGTGGCAATCTTCCTGCGAGCTCTGATGGCGAACATGCCCGCCTCCGTGCACACGCTGCGGATCTCAGCGCCTGGCAGGAAACACATCAAATTCTGCTTACAGGACGAACAGGAAATACTGCGTGGAGGTTCAATCACTCATGTTGCTATACACTGGTTAATGAGATTTTTGGGGTGAGATGTTTCTATGGCAGTTTTGTGATAAGAGACCGTTTAAAAAAAAAAAGCTTTTAATGTACAAGTGCTGAGCTTCATCAGCTTGATGAAGTAAAATAAACCAAAGATTTCCTGACTCATTGTCTGTGTCCTGTGAAAGCCATGTTTCTATGAAACCCTTTCCATGACAGTTCAGGTTCAGCTTTGTGACAAATGCACAGAAGAATGAGAATTTCATCAACCCATAAAAGGAACTTTTAATCCTTTTGGCTTAACTGTAAAATTCAAATATATAATCAAAATAAATTCAAATAATAATTCAATCTCTAAATATGCAGACATAGTTTGGATTGGACAGCAAAATGTTGATAGAGTGCACCCTTGTGGTCACATATCAGTACTACACTCGTGAACAAATAATTGAAGGCAAACTTGTAATTGTTCACAGGAGTCAATACTCCACAGCAGCATAAGGAGCCACTGAGAAGAATAAAAAAAACTTTGAGGCCTTTTGGATTTTAAGACATGTTGAAAACCTTGGAAATATACAAGTAGGCCTATATCTTTGCATTTGGTTCACTTTTGTGAAGGAAAGTAAATGTAAAGTATACTGTTTAATAGAACAATGGCCAAGTATCAGGGACATTTTATATTTATTATTTATTTATTTATTTATTGTGTATTTTTGACAGAATTGTATAAAAGTTTTCCTAAACAGAAAATAATCTGCTCAAATTTAATGAAAATCATTGTTTTACACAAACATCTTTCAGTTACTGACTTCAACTGTTCACAGTTAACTGAAGGATAGAATTAAGGAAAAAGGTTGGGAACCACTGCTTTAAAGGACAAATTACAGAATGAGGGAATGCTGTGTGTCAGTCTTACCGGTGCTGTTGGGGCAGAGGCGAGCCAGCAGCTCGAAACGAATGTCTCTCTCCACACTCATAGAGCGGGCGTGAATCTTAAAGATGTGTGTGCGACCCTGAAATACAGAAGAATACAGAGGTGAGACTTAAACACAGCTAGAAATAGCTAGACAAAAAAGGATACTATTTCATGACTAATCATGTAGTATAGTCTTATGGTCGCTCTCTGAGAGTATGTCTTGTCACCTCCAGGTCGGGCAGGCTGAACTCGATCTTCCTGTCCAGACGTCCGGGTCTCATCAGGGCCGGGTCCAGGGTGTCCGGTCTGTTGGTGGCCATGAGCACTTTGATATTGCCTCGAGGGTCGAAGCCGTCCAGCTGGTTGATGAGCTCCAGCATGGTTCTCTGGACCTCGTTGTCTCCACCAGCACCGTCATCGAAACGAGCACCTGGCAGGTTCACAGACAACAGGGTTCATGTTAAAGTGGAAGACTGCATTATATATTTATTTTAGCTTCTTTACACTCCTCTGAGAATATAACATTCAGTATTTCATGAGGACAAAAGACAAAAGACAAAAAAAAATGTACATACAGAAGGAATGTTGCACCAAACTGGTTTAAAATTATATAAATTATAATTTTAATTTGTGGGTAATTTTAAGATGCATTTTGTACTTAAATTACAGATATGGCACTGTTTTGTGAGTTTCAGATCTCTTGATGTTACCCTGAAGGATCATAACACAAACATACTACAGAAAACCTTACCTCCAATAGCATCAATCTCATCAAAGAAGATCAGACAAGCCTTCTTAGTCCTCGCCATCTCGAACAGTTCACGCACCATCCTGGCCCCCTGCAACATGAATGTTCATATTCATCAGGACTCTATACAGCTGCTATTCTTTGCCCAGTGTGTGCTTCAACTGCTCTCACACTCACCTCTCCCACGTACTTCTGCACCAGTTCAGAGCCGATGACTCTGATGAAGCAGGCATCTGTCCTGTTGGCCACAGCGCGGGCGCACAGGGTCTTTCCTGTGCCGGGTGGCCCGAACAGCAGCACACCTTTTGGTGGCTCGATACCCAGATTGACAAACCTCTCAGGCTGGAGAGCAGAGCACAAAAAACAGGAAGATCAGTCAGGATGGAGGCAGAGTATTCGTCCTTGGTACCTGTTCATCTGAGTCTGGGTCAATGCTGTGACTAGGAAGTGACACTCACGTGGAGCAGGGGGTCTCGACCACTTCTCTCAGCTTCTCAATCTGCTCCTTACATCCACCAACATCACTGTAGGTCACGTCCGGCTTCTCCTCCACCTACAGGACGAGAACAGAGTGTTGCTGCTTATTTTGTAAACTGCAGGAGCCAAAACTACAATCTTCCATCTAAGATAGAAGTCAACTGTTGTTTCTCATAAAATGAATTGGAATAATGTAAAAGAAGTCAGACATTTCTTAACAACATACGGTTCTCATACCTGCATCATGGTGACTGTCGGGTCAATCTTAGGAGGCAGAGGAATGTGGATCTGATACTTGTTCCTGTCCACACTGCAAGAACAGAGGAGAAGCTACATTTAGCCGTTTCACTAGATGTTAGACATAAACGTGACTTTTAAAGAATAATTGGAGACATTCAAATAATACTTCTGCCTCACCCGACTCTCATGCCCTCCTCAATGTCAGTCGGAGCCACCTGGTCGCTCAGGTCCACCACAAACTTAGCAAACTGTTTGACATTGATAATGTACTTAGGGTCCTCGGAGTCTGCGTTGATGATCTTTGTGCATCTGTTGGAATCATACGCAGAAAGAGAAATGTATGGGACTACTGCACAAATTCAAACATGAAAAGAAATATGTATTTGGTACTGGAGAGGAACATGGTAAAACACTGCTTTGAGGTGTGTGAGGCGGATCATTTATACTATTATTTTGACAGAGGATGGATAATAAAGTAAGTTTTCAGTTTTTAAATGCAGAAGGAAAGATAAATCGTTAACTCTGACACCATCTTATACTGCAACTTAAAGAAGGAATGGGAATCTAAAAAACACTTTATTTGTAGAAAGATTAAGTACTTGCAAAAGCACAGTGCTTTTCAATATTCACATTGAATATTGCACAAAAAGCAAAAACACAGATTGATTTTTTTTAACCATCATCCAGTTGGCTTTACCTTGCCACCTGCAGGGGCTGTTCACTCTGCAGCGTCTGTTTGTCAGCAGCCAGATCCCAGAGTGCTGGTGGAGCCAGGCCTGTGTCTGACTCCTTAATGCCTGTCAGAGCCAAAACACACGAGCAGCATCCGGTCAGAACAATCTCCAGCCAGTGAGTTACAGGGGGGGGACACTGAGGCAACACACGGCCTTATATTAACGCTTCCATCACTCACCTGTCAGCTCGTTGATCTTTTTGAGCAGCTGCTGGATGTCATCTTCCACTTGTTTGATCTGTCTGGAGTACGTGCTTTGACCCTGCCGACAAACAGCAAGCACCACGTTAGAACAACTTTAAACTAACAACAATGTAACAATGTGAATGTGAACACTCTCACAGGTAGAGCTCTACTGGAGCGAGCTGTGGCCACACTTACGTATGTTTTGAGCAGGGCGATGTCCCCTTCATCCAAAGCTGTGAGGATGAAAACAACATGAATGAGTGTGCAGTCTGCCAGTGGGCCGCTAGCATTGTTGTCGAGCTGAGCGATGTAGCAGTTAGCTTATGTCATCATGGTTACACATTTCATAGCAACCGCTTTCACTGCAAACATTTTAAACGGAACCTTTACCAAACCCCGACAGTTATCACAACCTATGATACATAAAAAATCTGTTTAACGAGCAACGCTAACGTTAGCTTGGTGGCTAACGCCGACGTCCCCTTTAGCGAGACCATTGACTGTTTTCTAACAGTTGAATTTAGTTTTTACTAAAATATAGTGTTTACATCTGATGGGTGCGTCATCCTTTTCCTCTTCTTTAGTCTTCCTCTGGTCGTCTCCCAAGTAATCCGGCATTTTAAATCTGGTATTAAACACTTTGTCACTGAAACACTGCGCTGCCTCTGCGACCGAGCTGCACCATTACACAGCAGCTTTGAGTTTCCGCCGCTGCGCGCCAGGCACCGGAAATACCGCTCGGAATTATATTGAGGACGTACCACCAATACAAAATATCTTTGATACATAAATAATGCTCTAATAATTATAATTTTTCATTTTAAATATTAGTTAAATGTTGAGAATTTCCAATTAATAATCAACGAAAAGTCGCTGCTCAATAAAACGCTTATTTCGGAAGTGCGGAACCATAGTGCGGATGTGTAACACGGAGTGGTTAACGGCGTCACAGCGGAGCTCGTTTTTGGATTGGCACTTGGAGAAGGAGGCCCATGTGGTGTGTGTGAATGAGCGGGCCACAGACTTCTGCACTTTAGGAAGCTTTCACTTGATCATTTCGGCACCTGAATGTTCGTTTCGCCATTTCTGCCACGATGTTGTTAGAAGCGCTGGACGGAGAAGAAACGGTTGTCTTCACTACCGCTGCCGGTAAGCGCTGCACGAGCGGGCCACGGGGAGGCAGCTAACGGAGCTACCAGTGTTTAATGAAGACCACTCGTTAGCATGCAGCGGAAAAAAAGCAGACAGCGAGGACTAGGCTAATATGAGCTCATGTAGAGCTCGAAAGAGTCTGTTTATTCTTCATATATATGTGTATATATATGTATATATGTGTGTGTTGTTTCTCGGTTTACTCCAACAGGGTTGTTATTTCC